TTATTCGGCTCGAAATGTTGCCTATACATATATTAACTTATGCGTTATAAATATCTACGCAGCGTTTTGTTATCTCTATGGCAAAGCCGCCCCCCCTCCCTCCTCGCGTATACAATTTGCGCGATAGCGGCGAGATATGAAGGACTCCGTTTTCTGGGAAGAGAAATGAGATTCATATTTGAAGTAAAATCACGATGATTAGTACCAAAGTCAGACAGCTCGAAAGTAGATCCTAGATCCTAGCTTAATCCTGATAAGTTTTCTGGAGCGGAACCGACATTACTTGATTCTGATCTCCTCCCTCGTGATAAGAAATGAGTTGTCCAACGAAGAGTTAGGTTTAGGTTCAACTCATCCCGCTCACTAGTATACTAACTCTGATTTTGATATATTTTATATTTTTGTGGGAGCAGGCGCGACGCTGCAATCACTAGTACATCTAGTTGTGAGCTCTTTTATTAGTTTAACTTACTCTCCGCTGAGAATAGAAGAGCACCAAACTTTGATTATAATTAAATTATCTAATTGGCAGAAATAGTGCAGCGGTAATTTTAAATGTTACTAATAAAATACGAACGAGCGTACCTGTGAAAGAGGCCCTCGCTCATAGGTGAGAGAAGATGTAGAGATACGGAAGCCGCACCGGCACTCTCTCCGAATATTGTCACTGACGTCGGGTCGCCATTGAAATGTTCGATATTGCCCTGAACCCATTTGAGCATCGCTAGTTGGTCGAACAGCCCCCAGTTACCAGACAGCTCGCTGTCGCCCGTGCTTAGAAACCCTAAAGGCAGACAAAACAGTACGCGGTTTCAATCTCATAAAACATTTGTAGGAACGAGATGTGCAAAACTTGCGATACGAAGAGAGTAATTGGTTTTAGCACTTCAATCAACCGGGTTTTAGAGGTATCCTTTATTCGGTATAGGAATGTAACTTAATTGTGCGTGCGTGTGTGCGTGTGTGCGTGTGTGTGTTCGGTGTGGCGTGCTGCGTGCTCATTGTGGCGTTTGACTGCGCAATATTGGCGTATGATGCATGTGTGTGGACGGTGTGTGTATGTACGCATGTATGAGTGTGTGCGTGCGTGTGTGTGTGTGTGGTGTGTGGTGTTGTGTGTGTGTGTGATGGTTTGTTTGTTTGTTTGTTTTTTGTTTGTTTGTTTGTTTGTTTGTTTTGTTTGTGGTCACGTGTGCGCGCGATTGTTTATAACTAAACAATGGTATAAACACCCTGGCATCATGAAAAACGCCTGATTTCAAAGCTTGCTATTTTTCTAAAGGCTCATAGAACAAACACCTTCTTTTTGCAATGGGGGGGGCGTTTATCCTGAGTAGTGTTTAAACCACGCTTGACGTATGTATTTGGAGATTTAGGTAAGATCAGGGTGAGTGACGACAAATTGTCAATGTGCTACTGGGCTAGTGTGAGAACGATTGGAATTATATATGACTTATGAGTTACAGCTATATGAATAAACAACAGTGTAAGTATTGAAAGGGCGCAAAACGTAACATATATATGTAAA